TGCTCACAAATCGCAACCTATTTTCGCAGAACCTGTGCTTGCCTTTCAAATTGGAGCAGCAAAGCTGTTCTCACAGTGCAGCGGGTTTCTGTTCTCAACTGTCTAGCAGGTGTCTCCAGCCTTTTGACATTGTGATACAATGTTGCCGTCTATAATACAGCATCCACAGTCTTGCTCAAGAACTTGCCATACAGTTTTAAAAAAAAATCTCATACTGCTTTCTGTAAGTTTAGGATTTTGTGTTGGGAACATTCCTACTTTTCTCCGGGTGCACACAGCTGCATGCCGTGGCTCTGTCACGCTGCTCTTCTTAAACAGGCAGGACAGACACCATCGATGTTGAGAGTCCCATCTCAGGAGGATTTGCTAACAGTTCCCATGATTTCCGTTTCAAGAGAGAATTTATGCAAGTCAGGAAACTGCACAGTGGTTTGAACGATCTCATGAGCAGTGGCATTTATCCTAAGGTGGGAATATTTGTGAACGACTTATTTTAAAGAAAGAAAACCACGACCGCTGCTTTTAATTAGTACCCATTTGAGGATCACAATTTCTTACATAAACTACAACCTTTTCAAATTCATTGATCTTTGTCCGTGAAGTTGTGTACCCCGGTCCCCTTGCAGGCTTCCTGCCACGGATACTAGCATTTCCTGATGGACCACGAACACTCTTCCACACAGTCTCTGGGTACCACTAAGGAAATGGAAACAAACAAGGGACATGCTCAGGAAAAGTTAGTTCTTCAGATTGAAAAAAAAAAAAGTACGGTTAGATAAATTAAGCAGCTTTTGTCTTGTTTTGTTTTGGGTTGTCCAGAGAGGTACAGAATATGTCACGATTATCAAGTGGGTGGCACCGTAGTGAATAATTCAATCCTCTTTCTGTGTTTAGTGACTTGTGAATTAAATGAAGAAAACTGTTATCTTAAGAACTGCTGGGTGGGAAACAGGAATCATTTGAGTTGGGAAAGAAAAACAGTGAGTACTCCACATACTTATCTTTTCAAGTAGCCAATCTTTAGCTTTTTCATTCTTGTTTTCCACTAATTTATGCTTTTATCTGCATCATTTTCCTTCTCTTGTTGTCTTTATAATGCCTTAGAGTTATTTATTTTATGTGGAGTTCAGAGGGCTGTGAGCTGCTATGCGGGCGCTGTGAATTGAGCCAGGGTCTTCTGCAAAAACAAGTGCTCTTAATCACTGAGCCACCTCTCCGGCCCATAGACCTTCTTTTAAACTTATGTATGTGTATTGTGTGTGCCTGCTTGTCTGAGTGCACACCACATTTGCAGTGCTCACAGGGGCCAGAAGAGGACATTGAATCCCCTGGAATTGGAGTTACAGGTGTGTGAACCACCCAATGTGGGTGCTGAGCACCAAACCCAGGTCTTAACTGTTGAGCCACCTCTGTGTCCCTTTCCTAACTTCTAATTTCAGCTTTTTAAATATTTACAGGCATGGTGGCACACACCTTTAATCCCAGCACTAGGAGGCAGAGTCAGGCAGATCTCTGTGAGTTTGAGGACAGCTTGGGCTACAGAGTGAGTTCCAGGACAGCTAGAGTTACACAGTGAAACCCTGTCTTAAAAAAATAAAATAAAGAAAAGAACAAGAAAGGTACAGTTTCTGTTCAAAGTATTAGAAAGTATGAACTATAAAACTAAAAAATTATGAAAAGACCATAACCTTTATATTTGGTAAGTTAATAAAATTTTAAAATAAGTTTTAACAGAGGTACCATATGGATGTATAAAGCTACTCCAAGAAGCCATAAATTTAAATGAAATTTAATGATTCTTCAGTGAAAACCCCAGTGCCGGGGTGAGCTACCTCCCTGTGAGTTGTGGGTGAGGGAGACCTGGGGTGCCCCTAAAACAAAGTCCGCAATCACCATCGCCGCTGGCCGCACTCCAGAACTAGATGGAAAAACCATGTTGCTGAAGACACCGTGTGCTCTGGTTGCAGGATGTAGACAAATCCAGTGGGAACCCGGATGGAAGCCTCCTTCCTGCTGTCTCCCTTTCACGGTGCTGTGCCGGGTTGCTGGGAAGAACCGTCATCGACAGTTGTGTTCAACTGCGAGCCCAGCCTGCTAGGCAAGGTGCTCGGCTCCCTGGTGCAGGAGTAGGAAGTCTTGGTGGTGGTACCTAACTGCTTTCTGATCAGATTTGAGGCTCTCCACAGGAAAGAATTCCCTCCTAGTTCTGCAAATCTGATTAAGAGCCATGACTATGGAGATCATAAACCCCAGTGGGGGAAATTCCTGCTGCTGTTTTGCTAAATGGACATGATGTGCCTGTCAAAATGACTTCTGAATATCACAGATCAGTGCTGTATCAGTTTTGGTCAGAAAAACAAAAAACAAAACAAACAAAAACAAAACAAAACAAAACAAAAAACTTCTTTTTGCAGGTCAAAGTGCTGAGAACAGGTTATTGTTGAATGCTGGACTTCAAGATGATTGTCCATCACCTCTTTCAGGGCATAGGGACATCACAGAAAAGGGGTGGGAAGACTGTGAGAGCTGGAGGGAGGGGCGGAGCCCTATGGATACTGCACTCTTGAGCTCACTACCCGCACAATGCCGGGCCCATCAGCATCCTGTCATGGAGTAGGGGGAGGCTTAGGAAGCCCCACGCCTCCCCGAGGATCTATTGGCCGTTAATAGTTGATAGGAGAGAGATGGACATTTTCTTCAGTGGTACAGCCCCTGCTAAGGGGCGGCACTAGTTACCAAGGCAACCTGTAGAAGGAAGAGAATATTTGGGTTTATGGTTCCAGAGAGATAAGAGTCTGTCATCATCTTGACAGAAGACAAGGTAGCAGGCAGGCATGGTGGCTGGAGCTGAGAGCTGAGAGAAAGCTGAGCTCACATCTCAAGATGCAAGCAGGAGGCAGAGAGAGTAAGCTGAGAATGCCTTGAGTCTTTGAGCCATCAAAGGCCACCCTGGTGACATGACGTACTTCCTCTAGCAAGGCCACGCTTCCCCAAAAGCACCACCAACTGAGGACCAAATGTCCAATGCTCAAGACGAGGGAGGGGGTACATTTCTCCTTCAAACCACCATAGGTGCCCATACCCTCACCCCATGCTTCTGTAAATGAAATTCTTTGGGTCACCAAAGGGGAGAGGAACATGAAGGGGGAGGTGGGATTAGCTACAAAGAGGAAAAGGATCAGAGAGAAGGGACAAGAGAGGGTGATAGACAGTGAATATGATCAAATTAATCAAATCCCTGTATGAAAACGTCATAATGAAATCCGGTATCATATATAACTAATACATACTAATAAGAAACTTTTATTAAAATTGTCAGTTTAAGTTCATCCCACAACTTCTTTAAGCATAGTGTGCGTGTGTGTGTGTGTGTGTGTGTGTGTGTGTGTGTGTGTGTGAGTGCGCATGAGTTTTCTCCTTCCTCCTTTATGTAAGTTCCATAAACTTGGGTTGTATGTTTGTGGAGCAAATGCCTTTACCTGCTGGGTCACCTCAACAGCCTTCCCATAAGTTCTGATATATAGAATTTTGTTGCCATCACATTCTTAATATTTTTTCCATTTTCATTATAATTTTTTGTTTTCTATATTTAAGTGTTTTCTTTTTTGTCTTGCTTTTATTAATTTTCAATTAACAAAATTGAATTAATACATTAATACATTTAAACTGACCTAGATGATTACATTTCCTCACATTTTAATACCATCTAGATAACTGTTTTACTTCCCTTACACACCCTAAACTACATCTGATTCTCTAGAGTTTCCAACACCTAAAACAGTAGAACTCAGTCTACAAAGGCGTAATTATTATTTTTAAAGATTTATTTTGAGTTTTATTTACGCATATAGGCTTGTCAGTCTGTGCGTACGCAATACCCGAGCAGGCCAGAAGAGGGCGTTAGATTCCCCCGGAGCTGGAGTGACAGGTGGATGTGAGCTGTCCAGTGTGGGTGTTGGGAGCCAAACTCCAGTCTTCCGCCAGAGCAGCAAGTGCTCTCCACTGGCGACCAACCTCTCCAGCCCTGTGATTTACTAGTTTAAAAACACCACTATTAAAGCTGTATATTTGTTTACGTGAAAAACGAAAGCGCAGTTGTCTTTTCAAGCCAAGTGAGGAGACTCTGCCACAATAGGTTCCACAGACCAGTAGCATCAAAATGAACGGAGGAAAAAAAGTTACCTCCCCGGCCGGTGGGAAGCCTTCTATGTAAGAACTGTTAGTTTTAGCAAGTTCCCAGATAGCGCGTCCTCACACCTGAAGCTGGTGAGACACTGCCATCCCATACTGGAAGCTATAATTGTAAGTGTTCAAAAAGCATCACGGTGATAACTCGGACTGTTGGTCAAACTCAAAACAACCCGGTCAGGCCTTCAAAGACCAGAGCAGGAGCTGCTGAAGTGAGTTCCGAGCTCAGATCTCATCCACAGTCCAGGTAGGGTTTCAGATGAAAGACCACCCGAGACACATGCTTCCTTCCCTTTAATTTCTCTGCAAAGTCCCCCCCCCCCCATGGGTTGTAAATCCCTGCATTAAGACCTGGTGGATCCTAGGGGAATTCTGGACACCATCCTGGGGCTGCCGTGGCTCACTCCATTCTCTGTTCATTTTAGAGAGAGTAGGGGGTTGGATCTAGGGGTCTCTCATACCTGCCAAGCAGTGCGCCATCGCTGAGCTCGACTCCCATCCCTGCCCTTCACAATTCCAATGTATCTTAGCAAGGTGACTCGATGGTCATAAACGAGCTGGCAATAGGCAGTAGCAGGAAACCCAGGCTGGAGGCAGGCTGTGCCTGGGACCCTCCTCCAGGAAGCAGAGGGTCCCAGGCAGTCCC